CTTCCAGAGTGGCTGTGTTTAAGGCAGAAATTGAGGTTAAATGAGATTGTAAGAATGAGGCCCTTCATTTGCAGGGAAATGACTGGGACTAGAACAAATCATTTTGAGCTAGGTAAGCCAAGTGCAAAGAGATAAACGGCACATGGTCTCCCTGATACATGGATGCTAAAGCCAAAATGCAAGGAAATAGGACAAAGTAAATAGGACTCGAGAAACAAAGGACTTCCAATCATTTTGTTGTAGAATTGCTAAGTGACTCCATGTTCTTGATCACATATATGGTGTGTGTGTGTGTGTGTGTGTGTGTGTGTGTGTGTGTGTGTGTGTGTGCATCTGAGGGAAGCTAGGAGGAAGGCACAGAATCAGAAGGAAACAGGAAAACATATAACAGAGGGTCCATCAGCTGCACTAGACATAGATGAAAATGAACTAAGCAACTCAAAGGCAATGATGGGAAGGAGGGAAAGAGAAGGAAAGAGGGAGTGACACTAAGCAAAAGGAAAGAAATGCACATATCATCTGATGTGGAAGAAATAATAGTATTGTCAAAGCTCAGAGAATTCACAAATTTTATAGATCATGAGAATGACAATTTGCCTTGTGATGGTTAAAATGTGTTTGTGACTTTAAGTATCACTATTCCACAATACTGTGAAATATGTGAAATTTTTTTAAAAGTTTAAAAAGAATGAGGCCCTGATCCAATAAGATTGCTATTCTTTTTTTTTTTTTGATATACTTGGATTTGAACTCATGGCTTTACACTTGCTAGGTAGGAGCTCTACCACTTGAGCTACGCCCTGGTCCTTTTTTTTTGCTTTAGTTATTTTTCAGGTAGGGTCTCACATTTTTGCCCAGGGCTAACCTCAGACCGTGATCCTCCTATCTATAGTCTCTGGCATAACTTAGGATGGCAGAAACAACTAGGTTGTAGGTCTCATTAGGCTTTCTGGCCTCCAACTACAAACCTTGACCCTTCTGACTTCCACCTTCTGAGTAGCTGGGATTACAGGCATAAGCCATCACACCCAGCCCAGATTCAGCCCATATTGTTGTTCTTTATGAAAAGAGACTCCAGAGAGTTCTAGGTGGGAGTGACTTTGTCCTGCTTCATAGACTCCTTTTTCCTTTCTTCCTCTTCCTCCTCTTTCTCTTTCTCCACCCCTTCCCCCCTACCCCCCACCACTGGCACAAGGGAAAGGCCACCTGATCACACAGGGATGAGGCAGCCATATATGATCCAGGGAAAGAGACTTCATCAGATCCCTGCTCTGTTGGCACCTTGATCTTGGACTTTAGTCTCCAGAACTGTGGAAAATTTGTTTTTTGGTTTTTTTGTTGTTGTTGGTCATGGGGCTTGAACTCTGGGCCTGGGTGCTATACCTCAGCTCTTCAGCTCAAGGCGAGCACTCTACCACTTGAGCTGTAGCGCCACTTCCAGCTTTTTCTGCTTATGTGGTGCTGAGGAATCAAACCCAGGGCCTCATGAATGCAAGGCAAGCGCTCTACCACTGAGCTACCTTCCCAGCCCCAGCCATTTTGTTCTTAAGAGGTGTCTTCCAATACCAGACACTGACGGGGGAGTCCAACTGGGCGGCATTATAGATAACACTGTCTAAAAACTTTCAGACCCTCAGAACCTGACATGACAAGTCTCACATCAGAACTCAAAGCCAGTCATTTCCTGAAGTCTAACCCCCCGCCCCGTTCCCCCCACCCAAATAAAAGGCTTGGACCCAAGTTAATAATGAGCCTTCTACACTCAGCACCTGATTGATTGCTGTTTGACACACTGACCGTCAACGTCTGGTTTTCATACTCAGTCCTGAACAGGGGGACCACAGCTGTGTGTGGAGCAGAGAGGGCAGTGCAGGGCTTAAGGCTAGTGCTCTACAGCTTGAACTACAGCACCACTTCTGGTTTTCTGGTGGTTAATAGGTGATAAGAGTCTCATGGACTTTCCTGCCTGGGCTGGCTTTGAACTGTGATCCTCAGATCTCAGCCTCCTTAGTAACTAGGATTACAGATGTGAGCCACTAGTGCCCTCATTCTTCTCCCCCTCCCCATCCCCGTCCCCCTCCCCCTCCTCCTCCTTCTTTTCTTTCTTTTAAAATTGTTGCTTATGGAGCTTGAACTCAGGGCCTGGGCACTGTCCCCGAGCTTCTTTTGCTCAAGGCTAGCACTTTACCACTTTGAAACACAGCTCCATTTCCAATTATTTAGAGTGGTGGTTATTTATTTTATTTTATTTTTTGTCAGTCGTGGGGCTTGAACTCTGGGCCTGGGCGCTGTCCCTCAGCTCTTCAGCTCAAGGCAAGAGCTCTACCACTTGAGCTACAGCGCCATTTCCGGTTTTCTGGTGGTTTATTGGAGATAGGAGTCTCACGGTCTCTCCTGCCCGGGCTGGCTTTGAACCGCGATCCTCAGATCTCAGCCTCCTGAGTAGCTAGGATTACAGGCGTAAGCCACCAGCGCCCGGCTAGAGTGGTGGTTATTTAGAGATAACAGTCTCATATAGTCTTTGCTGCCTGGACTGGCTTCAAACTTTGATCCTCAGACCTCAGCGTCCTCCTGAATAGCTAGGATTATAGGTGTAAGCCACCAGTGTCTGGCTCTTGTTTTCTTTCTTTCTCTTTCTTTCTTTCTTTCCTTCCTTTCTTCCTTCCCCTCTCTCTCTCTTTCTCTCTCTTTCTTTCTCTGTCTCTCCTTCCTTCCTTCCTTCCTTCCTTCCTTGTCCTGGGTCTTGAACTCAGGGCCTGGGCTCTGTTTTGGAGCTTTCTCCATGCTCAAGGCTAGCACTCTAGCACTTGAGCCACAGTGCCACTTCCAGCTTTCTCTGAGTAGTTTATGGGAGATAAGAGTCTCACAGATTTTCCTGCCTGAGCTGGCTTTGAACCATGATCCTCAGATCTTAGCCTCCTGAGTAGTTAAGATTACAGCATGAGCCACCAGTGCCTAGCCCTTGTTTTCATTTTTGAGACAGTGTCTCACCATTTAGCCCAGTCTGGCATAGAACTCTTGATCTTCCTGCCTCAGCTTCCCAAGGGCTGGAACTACAGCTATGTAATACCATGTTTGGTCTCACACATGATTTTGAACCATGTCCTGCTCTTTTATTTTTACCAGTCCTGGAGCTTGGACTCAGAGCCTGGGCACTGTCCCTGAGCATCTTTTGCTCAAGGTTAGCACTCTACCACTTGAGCCAAGCACCACTTCCAGTTTTTTCTGTTTATGTGGTACTGAGGAATTGAACCCAGGGCTTCATGCATGCTAGGCAAGCACTCTACCACTAAGCCACCTTCCCAACTCCAGTACTGCTCTTTTCTTTTCCTGAAAGGAGGCAAACAGACTCCTCCTGAGTGGGCCTGCTTACGGTCTGCTATCTGCCGGGGCCATGTGACTTTGACATGTTCAGGACACCAAGGCTGACCCCACAGCAAAGGGCCTTTCACCAATAATTAAAGGAGTGGACTTGAACAATCCATCTTGGCAATCTGACAGCAGGTGTACACCTCTTCAACTAAGCGAACGTAGCACTTCCAAAACCCGTGTGTCATCAGCCTCTGATGACGCCATAGTCACCTAGCCATGCACAGACTTTCCAGCAAGAAAAGATCTTAAGACATTGTGTGTGTGTGTGTGTGTGTGTGCAAACGCACACGTGCGTGCAAATACATGCGCACATGCATGTGTGTGCCAGTCCTTGGTCTTGAACTCGGGGCCTGGGCACTGTCCCTGAGCTTTCTTGCTCAACTCTAGCACTCTACCATTCAAGCCACAGTTCCACTTCTAGCTTGTTTCCCAGTTAATTGGAGATAAGAATCATCTCATAGATTTTCCTACCTAGGCTGACTTTGAACTGTGATTCTCAGATCTCAGCCTCCTGAGTAGCTAGGATGACAGGTGTGAGCTCCTGGCATCCAGCCAGACCTTTTTTTTTGTTGTTGTTGTTTTTCAGTCATGGGGCTTGAACTCTGGGCTTGGGTGCTATCCCCCTCAGCTCTTCAGCTCAAGGCGAGCACTCTACCACTTGAGCCACAGCACCACTTCCGGTTTTCTAGTGGTTTATTGGAGATAAGAGTATCACAGACTGCCCCGGGGCTGGCTTTGAACCGAGATCCTCAGATCTCAGCCTCCTGAGTAGCTAGGATTACAGGCATGAGGCACTGGCGCCTGGCTGAGCCAGACTTCTTTTAAAGGGGCCCTATTAATAATTCCAACAGGACAACAGAAACAGATGGGGACAGCGCTGAGCCAAACAGAAGGATCACAGAAGCCAGAAGAGGAATTGGTGTCTTGTGTCAGAAGGATAGCTTCTCGCTTCCCCTCTCCCATGGCGTCTGCTCTTCCTTCCACCTTGCCCTGTGGGGGTTCTCCTAAGAATGGCTCTTGCTAAGAGCTTACTTTACATCCTCTCCAGAAAAGCTAGAGAGAGCCCTGTGGCCTTCCCCATGGCCCAGGAGTTGATGATCCTCCTTTCCACAGCTCAGCAGTCCTGCCAGTAGCTATCAGTGTGCGACAGGTCCTCCTGAACACAGCCGATACTCTCTAGGGGCAGGCTTTGACTCTAGCCTGGCCCGATCTACCGCAGTGGGCTGGTACTGAATTTTTCTTGTTAGGCAAGGATCTTTCTCACCCATCTGCCCTCTATCAACTGCCCTAAGTCCCTTTTTAGGCTATCAGGCAGAGAAGTCATGTCTTTAAGGCTAGATTAAGGACATCTTTAGGCTATCCCTCCCTTAGGATCTCTTTTTCCTGGTCCTGAGCTTCTGAGAATGTGTCCCAGTTATTGGTTCTTACCAGCTCTCATTCTTACTCTTGGGCTATATATTTCGAGGCCCAGCACAGAGCTGGTGCCTTGAAAGATTCCCCCCCCCACACACACACTGTGATTGGCTCAAAGAATCCAGCCCTTGAAGTAGCTCCGGAAGTGAAGCCCAAGGGCCACCCCTTCCTTCTTGGCTTTCAGAGGGTTAGAAGGAGGAATTGGTTGTTCCTACCTAATATGAAGGCTACCACGTAGTTGGAGATCTGACCCATGCCCACGATGATAAACAACACAGTGAACATCTCCCAGTTGATGGAGAAAAGCTGCACGAAGCTGAATCCAGTCTGCACAGCCATGGTTGCAAAGAGCACGTTCTTCCTGCCAAACCTATTGAACACAACACGAAACATGAGTTGCACAGGACACTGCAAGGAGGGTCACTCAAGGGTGTGTTGCAAAAGCTCTGAACCAGCCATCGCTGCAGACTTATTTTTGTGTGTGTGCCAGTCTTGGGGCTTGAATTCAGGGCCTGGGCACTGTGCTGAGGGCAGAGCAAATAGAAAGACATCAGCTCTTCCTTTTATCCATGACTCAGTAGCCTGAGGGATCCTCTCCCTCCTCTGCCCCTCCCTCCAAACCCAGTAGAAATACTGGAAATTCAGTGCAACCTAAAGACAAGCAGTGAACCGAGGGTAGATTGTGGGTCCCGAATCCACCTGCCTTCCATTCTGTATCCTTACCTGTCTGACAGCTGCCCAGACACGAAGGAGCCGATGAGCACGCCTACGAAGAACAGGGAGGTGGTGAGGGGCGTCTTCCAGTCATCCTCACACACCAGATTCCACTGCCAACGAGACAGCACGAAGTATGAGCCCAACCCTCCAGTAGCCCCACTCAGCCCCGCCCCAGCCTCACTCCAAGGGAACATCGGCTGGCCGTCAGTTATGTTCGCCTCCTCTGGGATAGGCTGCTCTGGGCTGGACTCCTAATTGCCAATCACTAACACAAGTAACTTGAGGGTGGATTGCTGTTTCTCCTCCCCCTGCTTCCCACCCTGACCCCCTCACTCCCCTGAGATTAGGCATCCTTGCCTCTTCTGAAGAAGAAGGCAGTAGATTCTACATTGCTTCTAATTGCCCTGCAAGAAGCCAGATGAGGCCATCACCAAGGGTTGGTGGAGGCCTTACCCCTTCAGGAAGATAGTCCAGCAAGGAGAGAAAGGGGTTTGAAAAGCTCACAGCGGGGCTGGGAAGGTGGCTCAGTGGTAGAGCGCTTGCCTTACATGCATGAGGCCCTGGGTTCGATTCCTCAGCACCACATAAACAGAAAAAAAGCTGGAAGTGGCACTGTGGCTCAAGTGGTAGAGCGCTAGCCTTGAGCTGAAGAGCTGAGGAGCAGCGCCCAGGCCCAGAGTTCAGGTCTCACGACCAACCAAAAAAACAAAAAACAACAAACAAACAAACAAAAACCCCAGCAGAAACACAGGGCTGGAAGGGGTGACATGGTCCCAAAAAGAAATGTACTCATTTCCTGATTTATGGAACTGTAACCCTTCTGTACTTCACTGTTATAATACCAATTTTTTGGGGGGTGGAGAGAGTTGGTCATGGGGCCTGACCTCTGGGCCTGAACACTGTCCCTCAGTTCTTTAGCTCAAGGCTAGCACTCTACCTCTTGAGCCTCAGTACCACGTAGGGCCTCATGCATGCAAGGCAAGCACTCTACCACTGAGCCTCCTTCTAAGCCCTGTAATACCAATTTACAAAAATTAAAATAAAAAAAAAACCCACAGGGCTGGAAGTATGGCTGAAGTAGTACAATATCTGCCTAGCAAGCAGGAGGCTTCAAGTTCAAATTCCAGTACCCTAGGCACAAATTTAAAAAAATAAAAAAGCACCTGGGCAGTGGTGGCTCAGGCTTGTCATCCTAGCTACTCAGGAGGCTGAGATCTGAGGATCACGGTTCAAAGTCAGCCCAGGCAGTAAAGTCCATGAGACTCTTATCTCCAATTAACCACTCAAAAACTGGAAATGGATCTGTGGCTCAAGTGGTAGAGTGCTAGCCTTGAGTACAAAAGGGCTCAGGGACAGTGCCCAGGCCCAGAGTTCAAGCCCCACGACCCGAGGGATAAATAAATAAAACTTCAAGGGGCAATGTAAATAGCACCATTGTTTTGTGGTCCTCTCCTGGTTGAAAAGTGCACACAGTGCCAGGTTGGTAACTATTTTCCAAGCTCTGTACTTGTTGGTCTACTCATCCTTGAAACCAAGCTTTGGGTCAGATGGGAGGCTCCAGTGTGCTGAAGTGTACCCGCTCTTCTGAGTTACCTCTCTTCTCATCCTAGAATCTCCACTCAGCTCCACGGCCTGCATTCCCAGCAGAGCGGCCCCTCCCATTCCCAGGGCCTGTGGGCCACCAAAGCTCTAACAAGTCTCTGCTCGTGGATCATAAAATGAACGTTTCTATCACTTTGGCTCCCAGCTCTTGACTGAAATCAATTCAGGAACATCTCAAGGAAGGCTGCAAAGATTTCTTAAGTGTCTTTAGTGACCGTTTTTCTTTCTTTCTTTCCTTCCTTCCTTCCTAACTTCCTTTGTTCATTCCTTCCTTCCTTCTTTCCGTTCCTTCTTACTTTCCTTCCTTTTTTTTTTTTTGGTCGGTCATGGGGCCTGAACTCTGGGCCTGGGCACTGTCCCTGAGCTTCTTTTGCTCAAGACTAGCACTCTAATACTTGAGCTACAGCGCCACTTTTGGCTTTATCTGTGTATGTGGTACTGAGGAATTGAACCCAGGGAATTGCCAGCAGGAGGTCTAGTGTCTCCCTACAGACTGACTGAATGTCAGTATACTGTGACACTGGCTCCCCTCACAACACATAAACACACAATTCCCCAAAAGGGCTACGTGCATGCTAGGCAAGCATTCTGCCATTAAGCCACATTCCCAGCTCCCTATTTATTAATTTATTTAAAGGATGTGTGCATGAATATTTGGGGCTTGAAGTTGGGGGTTAGAGGATTTCCATCTGTGGCAAGATGGTCCTAGAACCATTAATGACCCTTGCCTCCTGCCCACTCCAACTCTCCTCCAGCTCCCTTAATGAAGTGCTGATTCCATAGTATTCACCAAGCAACTGAGTTCTTATTCCTCATCGCTGCCCCTAAAGTGCAGTCGATTTAAACGAATTTCACCTGTTCACACCACACTTCATTCTGTAGTACAGAGAACTGTTTCTAAAGACATAGAGGAAAGAAAGAGCCAGAAAGCAAAAGGCAATCAGGAGCTGGGTGCCAGTGGCTCATGCCTGTAATCCTAGCTACTCAAGAGGCTGAGATCTGAGGATCCCCGTTCAAAGTCAGCCTGGGCAGGAAAGTCCCTGAGACTCTTATCTCCAATAAACTACCAGAAAACTGGAAATGGTGTTATGGCTCAAGTGTTAGAGCACTCGCCTTGAGCTGAAGATCTGAGGGACAGCACCCAGGCCCAGAGTTCAAGCCCTATGACTGACCACCCCCCCAAAAGGCAATCAGGATAAACAGAAAATCAACAGGATGGGTAGTGGAGCTGTGGTTCAAGTGGTGGAGCACTAGCTTTGAGCAAAAAGCTAAGGGACAGTGCCCAGACTCTGAGTTTAAGCTCCTGAATCAACACAGACAACAACAACAAAACCAAGTTGTGATACGGAGGATAAAGTCCTAGAGGAGATCTAAAGTCCTGTCATAGAGATTATCTAAGAGGCTGCTGCTCCCCTTGCTCACAATGCTAGCCCTAGATGGGATGAGCCAACACAGCTGAGGGTTGGGGGCATGGCTCAAGTAGTAGAGCTCCAGCCTAGCAAGAACCAGGTTCTGAGTTCAAATCCCAGTACTAGGAAAAAAAATCAAAGAAAAACAACATGAGCCAGGAACATGGCTATCTACTTAAACAAAATCCGTGGGATTAGGGGTGCCCCACTATGGGGTGCTACCGTTTCACCATCTCCACCAAAACTCAATATTGAAGCGTAATCTCCATGGTAAGGTATCAAGAAGGTAAAACCTTGATCCAAAGGTGGCAAGGGCTTTGGGAAGCAATTACGATTAAATAAGGCCATAAGAGTGGAGCGCTAATCCAATGGGACTTTGAGTTCCCAAGACAGGGTGTGGTGGCTCATGCCTGTACTCTCAGCTTCGAGGGAGGCAGAAGTAGAATTATAGTCTCAGGTAGTCCCCAAACATGCAAAACTCTAGTGGAAAAATAATTCAAACAACAAAGGGACTGGGGGCATTGTTCAAGTGGTAGAATACCAGTTTACCAAGCACAAGGTCCTGAGTTCAAACCTCTACACTGCTCAAGTATAGAAGGGCACGCTAAGGATGTGAGAAGGAGGAGGAGTTGCCATTTAAGTTGGCAAGATTTCTCTGTGACCATGACAGGAAATGGTCTGAGCTCCCTGAGCTTCCTGAAGCAATGAGCTTTTAAGATTGTTCAGCCACCTCAAGTGTTTTGCTAGACCATAGAGAAGAATTGATATCAAAACAAAAGCCTGAGCCTGGCCCCAATGATTCCCACCTGTAATCCTCGCTACTTATGGGACTGAGATTCAGTTTGAAGACAGCCTGGACAGGAAAGTCCATGAGATTCTAGTCTTTAACTAAGCAAAAAGCCCAGAAGTGGAACTGTGACTAGCTTTGAATGACAAAGCTTAGGGACAGTGAACAGGCCTTGAATTCAAGCCTCAGGACTGGCACAAGAACAGAAGAAGAAAGGAGAAGAAAGCAAGATATGTACATTAATGGCCACTTCCATCCAAAACTGGTGGCCAAAGCTTTGGAAAAGAGTTTCAGATCTGCCCTGCACACACAAATCAACGTATGATCAAGGCCCAAAAGCCTCATGATGTGAACATGACCCAGTTTACGGAAGATAAGTCAAAGCTCTGAGACAAGGATTTGTCTGAAGTCATAGCAAGTAAATAGGGATACCGGACACCAATGAAGGCCTTAGAGCCAAACCTTGAACCTATGTCCTGCTTTGGACATCAACTCCAAAGGTAGGCCCAAATGAGCTTATTAAATACTATCCCTCTATGCCCAAAAGCCAGGCTCCAGTGGCTCACACCTGTAATCTTAGCTACTCAGGAGACTGAGATCTGAGGATCGAGGTTCAAAGCCAACCTGGGCAGAAAGACCTTGAGACTCTTATATCTAATTACCCAGCAAAAAGCTGGAAGTGGAGATGTGGCCCAAGTGGTATTGCATTAGGCCTGAGTGAAAAAAAGTCAAGCAAGGCCCCAAGTTCAAGTCCCAGTACTGTCTGTCTGTCTGTCTGTCTCTCACACATACACACACTCAAACACAACCCCCCTACATGATACCAAGAGACAACAGCTGCAGGACTGTAGAAGGCCTCTACCGTGAGACAAAGCCGGAAGATCTCAAGCCTCACACAAGTATTAACACACCATTATCACCATCAGCATTTCATTTATAGCTGAGCAGAAATGGTCCTCCTAATAGAATGCCCTCCCCTTTGTGGTTTTCCAGATATATTTTCTGTCAGGACTTTGTAGAACTAGACTTACTTGTTTTTTTGCCAGTTCTGGTGCTTGAAATTGGGGCTTGAGTGCTGTTCCTAGGCCTTTGTGCTCAATGCTAGCTCTAACTACAGTGTCACCTCTGGCTTTTTCTGAGTAGTTGATTGGAGATAAGAGTCTCACAGACTTTCCTGCCTGGGCTGGCTTCCAACCTCAATCCTCAGATCTCAGCCTGCTGAGTAGTTAGGATGACAGGCTTGAGCTACCAGCGTCTGGCTAGAACTAGATTTTTCTTGAGCAAAGGTAGGGTGCAAGCCTAAAAATATAAA